CATCTCCACCGACCCGTAAGTTTCCACCATTTCATGTCCGCCTAAGTTCTTCCGTCCTCACTTTGTTAGTAATATATTTTTAGTTAATGATGTGTGGATCAACACTGAGATATTGATGCCTCCTCTTATACTACATCCTTATAAGGGGTTCTCACATCAAAATATCCATACTTTTAATTCCCCACTTATAAGAATATATTTATTACTTTAGTAAATGATACAGGCTCCAATTTGTAGTTCGTAATAAGTATTCTAAAATACATTATGTTTCTTTTTTTTTCTGCAGCCAGACGCTTGGTTTAACCTGCAGTCAGACATTTTTATTGAATGTATGTTTTCTTTGATGCAGGAACTAAAGATGGTGAAGGAGATTTTTGATATCGCAGTTTCAACTAACAAGAAGGAGGAGAAGGAGCTAGAACACAAGGGCTATACCAAAATTCCTGTTAATCTAAATCCAGAAAATAAACCAGACGGAACCTACCTTTGGTACAGTCACAAAATGAAACACACCGACAGCAAACCGATCACCAGGATCCAGTTTTCCTTCACAGAGGGAATGGAAAAAGGTCTAATAGCTCAAAACTACCAGAAGGTCTTCATAGGTTCTTGTGGTGGTCCTCGTCCATGCATCGTCTACGTGTGGTACTTCCAAGGTACCACCAAGTATGATATTCCAATCGAAGACCTTTGGATCTCCCCTGACCTAAAAGCTGATGCTGAAAAGTTTAAATTGCCCTGCTGGGAGAGGTCCGCCTTCAACCTGAACATGGCTGGAGGAACTCCGTACCACCTGTGGATGAAGAGGTCAAAACAACCCTATATCTGTGATGTCACCGCAACTGATAACTTTGATTTCGATGCCGAGTTGTTCGGTCAAGGTTACATCCGAATTGACGAAAACACCAACAGAGGCTCTGGCGTGACGCCAGTCTTCATCTGGTACAGAGAGACCATTGAGAACGAGGACTTTATCAAAGATCTGCAGATTTTCACTAATCAGGAAGAGGTTAACAACCTGGGGAAGCAATATTATCAGCTAGTGAGAATCAACCTGGATAAGGGCGGAGCCAATGTGTTTCTTTGGTTCAAAAAAGAGTCTGGAAAAGAAGCCATCTCTTTGGTCACTCTGGTGGGCTTAGCTGAAGTTCCTCTGGTTAAACCCAATGCCACGGTCATCCAGAAGAACGTCAATGAGGAAAATAAATGCTTCTCAGTATTCTTGTGTTTTAAGTAGAGAAGCTCCTCCTCCTTCCTGAGCTCAGTGAAAGGAAACAATCACTCATATTGTTCTGGTAATAATAATAATAATATAATAATCCATTATATCATATTTCTGTCTCTTAGATCTTCTGGTTTCTGTTTCTGACTCTGATTTTCCTGTTTGAATAAAGACGAGCATCTGATCCTGCCTGCTTCCATTTCATCTGGTAGAAATTTATAAAACCAAACAGTGAAAGTAGAAGAAAGCCTTTGGTGGGGGGGGGGGCATGAGGACAGAGTGTGAACATGAAGAATAATCCCAATAAACATCAGAAAAACACAGCATAGAAAACTGAACCCGCTTGGAAACACTAATAAGAAAATATACACGAACACAAATAATAACCACACCAGAGAATCGTCATGGTTACAGCCCAGATACAGAATCTGGCTTCAGTCACTTAACTTCTATAATCAATAATAATAATAATTCTTTTCATTTAAAGCAACCTTTTAAAACACCAAAGACACACAACACAAAATCAACACATAGCATCATAAACACTAGAGGCAGTCAGCAGAGGTCTGCAGTCTGGAACAGGTGAGTTTTTATTATTTACAGATTTTATACATTAAAACAGAACAATATCTGACACAGTAAAATATAAACCAAAAACAGATCAAATATAACAAAATGTAGTAGTTTTGTAGTTCATCCATGTGATGTTGAAGGTATAAAAAAGTAAAAATAAGACCACAGGTGTAACTGTTTCATCAAATGAAAGAAATGCCCCCAAATATCAGCCTACTTTAAAAAAGCAAAATGGAGCCTAGGTGGAAGTTCAACGGAAGAAACTAGTTTTTTCATACATCCACCTGTGACACATTCAATCAGATTGGAAACACGCCTCCACCAAAGCCAATCAGCATCCAAAGTTCATGTTTAAAATACGCACCTGTCTGTTCCTGTGTGCAGCGGTGGATGCGCTGTGA